CACGGCCACATCGCAATTTAGGGATTTCGTAACAGCAACCTTCGAATTTGCTGTGACTGTTCACTCCAAAATACAAACAGCATCAAGGCTGCGCAGCAAATACGCGATGACATCCCTTCTACACAGATGACATATAAAGATAACCCCACGCCGGACGTAGAGTTGAACGGTAACAATAAGTTCGCTGAGCGTTAATTAATCAGAGATAACTGTAGTTACCACAAAATTGATGTTCAGTAAAAAACACGTCCAAGCCTACGTTCAAACCGCTCGTGATAAAAGATAGTCAAAGAACACTTTAGTCAAAGGTTCTGACAAAGGATTCTTCCCTTAGTCAATTGACAATCCCTTCTTTTCTGTTTGGTTGGTAGATTGTGTTCCATCTCCTTCCTTTTAACTTAGTAGAGTATATTTCCCAATTTCGCGCATGATGACCAATCTTCACTCTTATTATCCTTAAATACTGATTTCTTAGAATGATTCGGGTTTTGAAATTTGATATGGTTACAAAAAAGTACTTGTTATCCTCGAAAAGGCCTAACCTGGGAAGTGATTAAAGTTAAAGACGGGGGAGCTAACATGTTACTTTTCTCTCGGCACAATCTTCTGGGCTTTTCAAAGTTTCATGTAATTTGAACCCGAGGGAATTCTTTTTTTTATGTGAAAAGTTGCCAAACGAGCAGACGGTTCACCTGATGGTAAGTGAATACCGCCGCCCACGGGCATCTGCTACACCCGAGGGTTACAGATGCGTTGACAACCTTTGAAAATTAGGCTTCGGCTACCTCACTCACCAGAAGAAACGCGAAAGTATTTGTCATACTTCCACTATACGCTGGTCTTCTGTGAGGTTGTGATACTTACCCGGACGGGCCTGCTCATTCGTGCAACAGCCGAGGCTGCTGCGTGGCCCTACCACCGTAAAAAAGTAATATTTAGGATACCGTATCTAAGTTTCATCAAGTAAGACTACATCACATATCATTAAGTGTGATGGAAAGCAAGCAAAATAGTTGGTGAATGTTTGTAGCACTAACTTAACCAATCACTTAAAAGAAAAAAGTGTAGTATTTGTTACACTTTGGCGTTTCGTCCGGTGTGCCCTCTCTTATCGGAAGCCCATTAAAGCCTGCGAACTGTGGGTACCAACTCGTCGTCGCGAATATTTATCGAAAACCATGATTCCTGATAATCAGGTACGACGCTTTAAAAGATTTCTATGTAAAACCTATACCAGAAGGGGTTCAATTCAAGTTCAAGAGGTAAAGTCAAAGACATGAGGTGTGTAAGTTTATAGGGGGAGAATAGAATCAAAAAAATATGAACATACTAGTCGCGGCATATCTATAAGCTAGGGCTTATGTACATAAGTCTCAATATATCAAGAGAACAGAGCTACCACAATAAAAGGGCTATACGTCGAAGCGAGCATCTGATTACCCGAAACAGGGTCAGAGTCCAGCAGCGGTGGCTGCGGCCACTTTCGTTCAGCGCAAGGTCACCGTAAGAGACACCCGCGCTCGAATTTTATCGTGTTTCAGTTCCCACAACGATTTGCCAGCGACTCGGGTCATTGCACCGCGCGTGAACAGTTTTGATGCTTGAGTGGATATTAAACCAAAATATGAAAATTGTTTGTTTTCATAGTCTATTTCTGATTACGGACCCGACTCCTATCTAGATATACAGAAGTACTCATATAAATAGTATGTAGATAAATCGTTTTTAGCCAATATACTTACACAAAAAGGAATTTGACTAACACAAAATACTATAAACCTGTAGCGTGAATGAGATAGAAAAATTCTGCCACTACATCTTTCATATATTGGAAAGGATAATTGTTTTCTGGGCAGTGTTTTGGGCGGAATATACAATATTATATTATATTTTATTACAGTTTTTGATACACTTTACGTAACGTAACCAAAATATTAATCAAAATAATCAAATGTCTCTTTTTAATGCAAAAAAGTCCATCTGGTAACACGTCACAAAAAAGTACCAAAATAAATTATTAATATTATAAAATTATAAATAAAATTAAATACGTTAGTCGAAGTTGGGGTTCTAAAAGCTGACGTGAGATTGATCTCAATGGACGGAATACAGCAGCATCAAAGCTCTTTACCCAAACATAGACATTGATCATTGAAGTATCTGGTTACTTCAAGACCTTGCGGACTGGAAGTCCGTAAAACCGAAATCGGCTTCTCGCTCTAATTTAACATTATCCTCATGACCTGTAAGGCTGGCCACTGTGGAGGGTAGCTTAAAAAGCCAAAGTATTGGTGAGCTACGGTAATAAATTGATAGTCAACAATAAGCTGAGCTTCGATATAGAATTGGTTAGAGGCCTCTGCAGCCACAGACCAACTATGGTGAATTCAAGTTACGTTGCTATTATTGTTTACATAAACTATAATTCCACCTGGCTTAGCCAAACGAACGGAACTAAGTAGGATGACGGCGAATTCTCTATGTACGATGTTACTAATTGAAAACGTTAAAAGAAAACGTATAATTTCTTAATATCAAGTATCAACGGGTTGAAGTCGGCGTCAAGCCGTTACAATTAAAGTTACGTCAACCGCCCCACGGCGGGCAGACGGTCATGCGTTGCGCCACGGTGACCGTCCCCGCCGACCATCGGACATAACTACATAGATCCCGTGGATAATTCGTAACGACATATATATAATATCTGTAATGACTGTGGAGTTATTGCGACTTGACGAATGGTCTCCATTAGTTTGAAGGCGGCAAGAGATTTTGTATGTAGTTATGTCTGAAAGTAATTAATTCTACTTACTCTTGACTCAAAAGACGGCACTCTTATTAACTGAATTTCCACAGAGTGAACATAAAAGGAAACTTTATAAACGTCTCGTTCATACTGCGTTGAGGTTTACGTAAATGGTATAGTTTAATAATAAAAAAGTTTCATTGATCTGATTCATTTCTGCATTTGTGCAGGAATTTAAATGCATAAACAATCAGAAATCTTGAAAAAAAAAATATTGCATAAATATGTTCGATCAAACAAAAGCGGCCTCATTCCATCGAGATACAGATGTTTAACTACATTATACTACTGGGTCCGATGGTCATACGAGGTTGTCATACGAGGTGCGTTCAATGTATTCTCGGGCTGATATACTAATGATGAGGATAATTAAATTATCTCATTATTTTCAGGAGAATAATAAAATTTCATTTAGTTGTCACCATTAATAGTCAAGACATTATCACGAAAAGGCACTCACGATGACTGATACGACAGTTTAAAAAAAATCGAGCATCTCACTCTGATAAAACTGTTCACAAGAAAAGAAAGACTCAAAAAGTTATACACGAAGAAATGGTGGCTGTTTACCAAGATTCTGCTCAAGTACAAGATGGATGCCGCGAATGGCCACGTCGCTTCAGAAATATATGCAAGTTGAGTTGTGCAAGGAGTTTTTAGAGCTCCGTGGTCATCCGCAAAAAATCCGCATCGTATTTTAAACCAAATCGTTACTAGTGATGAATCGTTGTTTCTTCACTATATATAATGCTTGCAGCTAGCAAGAATCCATGCAGCGGCATCAAAAGGGACAGATGAAATCAATAATTCACCAAACAGCTGGACCAAAATCCTAGAGATTACTTTCTTAATTTCCCTACTCCAAGAAATATCTTCGAGGTAAGAATATTGAAAAATAAGAACTTATTTGAGCGGGAAGTATCCCGGTATGGAGTACATTAAAAATAAATTTTATTCAGAATTTTACGCTTAATCTTTCATGGCTATAGCGAGAAAAAATCAAACGACCCTCGTACCGTCTCTAATGGTTGGCGCGAAAGCATTTACCGATGACAATTAATTCATTAAACGTTAATAACATTGAATACAAACTGTTTTTCAAATTCAAGTGGTGCGTGCAATTTGTTTTTCTTTACAAAAATAAATCGATACATTACACGCATCGACGAAGAATCGCGTGAATATGGCTTCCGACCTGACGCTCGTGCGATACAATCAGCGGAAGGCTTGGAAGTGGCTGCAGTAGCTGACACCTCGCCATGGCTGCAAAAGTAATATTTCATTAGATTTAGAATTATCGAAATCAGTAAATATTAAACTGTACACGAGACAAAACTTTTTTTCGAAAGTAAGTATCATTCAGGGTGAAACTTTTCACACCGATTATAAATATAAAACTTCAGTAATTATTACATTTTGATTGTGTTTCCTGTTGACATACTTATTCCCGTTTGAGCTGTATTAAATTTTATTATAACTATTAGTTTTCTATATTTTATAACCAATAAGGAACAGTTCTGTTACTTATAAACTAATCATCTTCATTATAAAATGTAGTCACCTTCCTCATAACGAGTTTAGAAATTAGTAGACCTCTTAATGGAAATAGCTCTTCAGTATCTCTGTATAGCGTAACTGTGAGTATTTAGACCCTTATTTATTTTGCATTACAGAGAAAATTGCATGGCAACGAGTTACACATAATCTCAATTAGTCACATCATTCACAATAGTATTTGTCGTACTCATAGTTTTATTGTATTTGGATATGAAAACTAAAACAGGAGAACACACATTTAATTTTAAAATTGTTCAGGTTATCGAAGAAAAAATCGATATTGTTATCTTTCCTTATTATGTCCTTTTGTAATGCTATATTTCACATTGCACTAAATAAATGACTAACTTAATATTATGATATGCTCAAAAAATTATAGAAGTTTCAAAAGAATCTGTCCCTTGTTCTAAACAAATAAGAAATTCACATTACAATAGCAATGTTTTTGCCTGCACATACGATGCAGGCGTTGATTATTTATAAGACCTTGGTGAACATTAAACGTCTACTATTCGGGGCTCCTTTTTTAAAGGTCGGCAACGCATCTGCAACGCTTCAGGTGTTTTGGATGTCCATGGGTGGTAATCACTTAACATCGGCTTATCACCGCTCGATCATCTTAGATAAGTGCTCTTAGATGAACAGGCCATCTCAAAAAGTACCATACTTTACAACGTTCCTGAGGAGAACGTTGCGATTGACCGGAGGTCAACACTGTCATTATTTGGTAGTGTTGTCAAACGCTGGAAAACTGTTCCACTTCTTTGCTATAAGCCAGTTGAAAGAGAGGTACCAAGGTATTAAGAAGTACCTACTCTTAATCGAGCGCCAGGAATTTCGAAAACGGATGGAGTCCCTAAGAGTCTAGTTATGGGATGATGGAAGGGGGAAGAGTTAAATTATGTAATTCCTGAACACACTTAAGAAATGGATCGCCGCAAGACGTACGCATCCGTGCCAAAAAGTCATTTTAAACACTTAGTAGGCATAAGTCTCATAAATAAAAAAAATAATACTCTTGTATTTCTTCCGACGAAAGAGAACAGTTATTGCATTTTTGTTTTTGTTTTTTACTATAATATATTTTAATATGTTGGTAATACAAAATATATGGCACTACTTCATCGTTTATATCTTGTATACATTGAGTTCTTTATTTGCTATGTATTTTGTTTATATATTGCAAATAAAATTTCATTTAACAACATATAAATTAACTCATACGTTCCTAAGAGCCGTGATAGCTCAGTGTCCGGGCGCTCGCCTTTAATTCAATATACTCGAGCAACCTGAGTTCGATCCCCGGTGCCGGCACCAATGAAGTTTTTTAACTTTAAGTGCTGACTTAACACGTGCTCCGCGGTGAAGGAAAACATCGTGAGGAAACCTGCATATTTTCGAAATAATAACAAAAAATATATATTTCGAAAATATGTGAAGTCCGCCAATCCGCAGTGGGGCCGCGTGGTGGACTATGCCCTGATACCCTCTATATAGAGGAGGCCTTTGCCCAGCAGTGGGACATGTATTGGCTGTTACTTTACTTTTTTATACGTTCCTAAAGCAAGTATGAGAAATACTTAACCTTAACTTTTCGTTGGCACTTCTGCGTGGCGCGGGGTATCGAACCCCGTGCCTTGCCGCAAGCGCTGAACCATACCGCTGCGCCGTGAACCGTGCGCCGTGCGAAGTGAGGTAAGCAGGCTGATGTGCCCGGCCCGCCCGACCGTGGACTACCGGCGCGACGCCTGGCAAGATGCTCCACTACATTAAATATCAGTATTATTTTAATATCGTCAAATCAAATCAAATCAAATATCTTTATTCAACATAGGAGTATTACACTCGCTTATTGATAGTCAAAACACTACCACCGGTTCGAAAAAGAAAGCGACTGAACTGAGAAGAACCGGCAAAAGAAACTCAGCGGGTTTTTTTTTCGTCGAATGACTAAATCAATAATGGACAACATTTAGAACTATTTTAATTCAGATAACAATGGTTAGTTTTTTATTATAATTTTTAACCGACATCAAAAAGGCGGAGGTTCTCACTCAGTTCATCTGTATTTTTTTATATTTGCTACCTCAGTACTTTTGATTGGGCGAACCCATTTTGATGATTCTTTTTTATTTGAAAGCTGCTTCTTCCCATGTGGTCCCATATTAATTTCATTGGTATTGGGTCTTTGGCTCCGGAGATCCAAAGGGAACTCCTGAAAATCAATTATAAAATTAATACAGAGCAAATTTGGACATATAATTTATTTTCTGCTGTTATTTATACAACTATTATAATATTGTTTATACATTCATTATTTGTATTTTACTTTTAAGTTATAGCAACATTTTACTTTGAATTTATGAGTTTGATTACTTCAATCCATTGTCTACCTAAACCGTCACCATTGTCAACCTAAGCATTTATGACATTGTCTCATATTTGTCCCACTAATCTTGTAGGATGAAAAAAATGTTCCGTTCCTTGACGTGGCGGAGGGGCTTAGTAGCCGTGGCTTGGTCACCCACAGCGAAGCTAAGAGGAACCCATATTGGGCCGGCCTGTGGTGTAAGGCCGGCCCCAGAAGGCCGCTCCGAGTGGGCTCATTGCGCCCACTCTGGATGCGTGCTGGACAGGTCGAGGGTGGTTGAGGTGGAGCCACTCTCCCTGTCTTCTGCTACCGAGGAGGAGTCGCGGGGGAAGAGGAGTGTAGGTATTGCGTTAGCCGTGCTCCCTATCCCCCGCGACTCGGCAGGGCTGCACCGTTAAGGCAGGCCGTTAAGGCAATTGCTATATTCGTCAAAAGTACTTAATCCAGTATCTGCGTTGCCTAATTGTAAAATTATATCGGATGTATCGTAAACGTTAATAACGGTTATTTACGTAACACTATTGCCGCAAGTAGAGCATCCTTCCTCGCGGCCTCACCCCCATACATCGCCACGGAGCATCCGTGCGTGCAGTCACACATGCGCACACGCACAACAGGTGTGCACACATATACAAGTCAGCTTACACAGGCTGTTTAAATATACCCTACTAACATTCAAATATTTAAATTATATTCGACTTAAATTAGATTATTAGAGTAAATAAAAGTCGTCGACTTACATAACATGCAAAACATCCATGAAATTTAGTTACGTGACACAACGTGGCTTTTTACCGAAGTAGGTGTTAATAAATTATGATAAAAAAAATTGTAAGAAATAGGGTAGTGGATTACCATTATGTCATCGTAGATTGAACTTTGTTTGAGAAGTTTAAATTATAAAAATTAATACAATATCTAAATCTTGTATTAAATATAAAGATATTTGATTGATATAACCTAAATTATAACGATCCGAGAAGAATATTTACTAACATTGTATTATAATATTTTGAAGTGAAAACTTCAAAAGGCAAGTTGGCAATTTTGGAAGGAAGAAGAAAAATTCAAAGGTCACTGATGCTAAAGTCACGTGTTTTGGTCATTGACGTTGGTAACGTTAATGTTAATTGCAGTATTTTTTCCAGTAGTGGGGATCGAACCCACACCCTCTGTCCAAAAGAGAGTTACATTATACGCTGTGGGATAATTTCTCTTATTATCAATCATCATAAAATAAATCATCATCCCACGAACATTCTCGCTACTCAAGAAATTATTATCAAAAGTAAGCAACACGATTATTAAAATTAGGTTCAATATTTATTTATTTCAAAATGATGGGCTAGGTTGGTTACTGTAGTGTAGAGGTCGACAAGAAAATGGCAAAGTACACATTTTTTGTTTTACTTAAATACTTCCATTTACCCACGTGTAGTATTCCCTTAAATACAAGTATTAAAGTAAAACAGTCTATATATGTCCCACTGCTGGGCAAAGGCCTCCTCTGTACAGAGGGTATTAGGGCGGCCCCACTGCTGATTGGCGGACTTTTCATAATTATCTTCGAAAATCTATTATTTCGAAAATACGCAGGTTTTCTCCGATTTTTTCTTTCAGCGCTGATCAAGTGATAAGTCAGCACTTAAAATTAACAATTTCATTGGTGCCGACACGAACACCCTCACAATGAGCTATGACGGCTTATAAACAACAAGTGATAATCACAAATAGTTTTTTATTAAATAAAATCTTATTGTAATCAAACAAATTAAGAAATATATAATTTTAAGTTGTTACAAAAATGTTTGTTTTAAAAAAAAAGCATACCCTAAACAGAACATACATTTTGTCAAAATATCCTACAATTGATAATTATAATATACTACAATTGTTGTAGAAAGTTATACATAGACGGTAACATACTGTATGTCTTATCACTACACAACCTTAACGAGTGAAAACCTTACCAACATCATTTTGCAGCTATGTCAAAAAATAATGTCATATTACAAGCAACATAAGGTTGATTTTTTAAATACTCGAAAGTAAAGCATAAAGCAAAAACGTCCAGTGAACTTTGATCTCTGTCGTTTCGCGCAGCAAGCGCATTACGTCCTGGCGAAGAGTTCTCCATAATCTGGACACGCGTACGTATATTTTGAAAACACTATTTCGTATTCACAATTGCGCGTCGCTTGGCCCGCGACGGACGCGGCCATATTGTCTTTTGCTTTTTATTTTTTTTTGTTGTTACGCACGCTTTAATACAGTGACATTTTTGACGTTTCGGTGTTTCATATTTGTGCATTGGATATTTGCTTTTGGTACCATTGTAAGTATTAAAATAATTTTACGATTACCTTATCGATTATTGAATGCAGTTTTGCATTAACTTTAATTACCGTACCTGTGGCAATGTCATTCATTAGATAAACGTAATTCAATCAATGAATATTACTCACTTGTCGAATAAAATACATATTTGACGCGTCCTCGTTTGTTTTGAATAATAAAAACAGTATTTTTGAGTAGTTCAAATGGATGTGAGTCTGTTGCATACGTATGTTACTAAATGCCTTGTTCCGTTACGGCTGGCAGGATTTGGTTAATTTTGAACCGAAACTAACAACTCGGTCAAATTTGTTCATTTTTAACAAAATATAAAAGTGTTATTTGCTTAATTAATCATTAATTGAGTAAGAAAGCAGAAGTGGCTTCGTGGCTGCGGACGTGCATACTATCTGAGATAATGAGTTCGAATCCTCATATCAGGCTCAGAGAGGTGTACAATGCGGTTTCCATGTCGACATATTGCAAAATTTACAAAATTATGACATTACGACATTTACAAAAATATGTACCAAACATTAGAAATCAATTTTTTTGTATTTTTATTTTTATTCTTTATTCTTTATTGTACACAGAGTATAAGTGAAAACAGTTACAAAAAAATGTACAAACGCGAGCTTAACCCTAAAAAGAGATTATATTATGATACGTTGGTGTGTAAAAATAGAAATACTTATACTCTAAACTCAAAACATATAAAGAAGAGAAAAAAAATAGAAGTATACAAAATCATAAAACATATAATACTATAAAATAATATGTAATAAATAATACTATAAAATATATAAATATAAAAATAAACATTCTTCATTGGTATTACCTTTTGTTTAATGGTTTATATAATTATTTAAGCTTAAAATTTAATTTACTGTGTTTTTAATTTTATCGTTTTAGCGATAATTGCTTTAATTGATACTCCTAAACGCTTACGAGATAATGAATAGATATAATTTGAGGAATCATAATGAACTTCGATAACCGGTTAATTATTATGAAATATCTAGTTTAAAAAATTGGAATTAAAATGAAAAACTTACCCGAGACGAAATTCTTATGAATAATGTCGTGTTAACCCACAAAGTTACAATTAAAAGTACTAAATTTGTTCATTATTTTCACTTCACCGGGTGGTCAATCCAATACATACATAAAGTTCTTACTTCCAGTTGGGTTTAACAGAAACATTGGCACATCTCTCGTCTTCCGAATCTATCAACTTTTTCTACACTAGGAAACTGCAAATTGAAGGTCCTTCGGTCGTATTCCTTTCCAGTGAATCCTTGCGCTCTTGTCTCATTGCTTTTCTTAGCAGACACAGAGTTTAACATCAGAGCTCCTTAAACTATACAACGATGAATCCTGACAAAGTAGGGCTGAATTGGAACGGAATTGATAAAGATAACCCACAATTCACACACCTATAGAACCTTACGTTGAGGCTAATGCTAATGCATGGGGCGCTCTCAAAGGACAGACAGTATCGATTTTGTACTATGGTGCGGTACGTAATTTAATGCCATCTGACCACCCCAAGTCTGGGAACGGTTAGTCGGATGACATGGATTATGTCGAACCTTTATTACAATCTATACACACGTAAACAACATACACATTTTACAACTACGATACCAACTCAATATTCTGGCAAACTTGGTGATTGATACGGTAAATTGGGCATAATTTCTATATAGTAGATAGATGAAAAAAGCTGGCAAGCTTTATTTACAAAAGTCTTACTTCAGTAATAAGTTGTTGAACATAAGTTTAAGAACTTATTACTTAGATTCCCTAATTTAACACTTATTTATCTAAACTTCTTTATATTTTACTTTATTACTCTGTTTTTATGTCATTTTTGTCAATTCAGTGTTGATAGCTGACGGTTTTCTTTACCTTATTTACCACACCTATCTTATTGAAAATGAAAACAGAAATAATTCAACGGATTTAAATTTGCAAATCAGTGGGGTTCATAAGACCTTATAACAAATCTGATATCTGACGATCCACCTGGATACTACAGTATTATTTATTCCGTAGTAGAGTATCATTCGCACAGTAGTGACTACACTGTGTCACCCAACACAAACTTGTGACAGTGTTTTACTGTGTTTAACTTAAACAATTATAAGGATAGTCCATAAAAAATTTGGAGAAAAAATGCACCACAGTTATTCGTAAAACATCAAAATCTACCTTTCTCACTTCGTAAATTCAGACCAATCTAAAGAAGAACCAGAAAGAAACTGGGTTCAAATAGAAATTCTATTTAATTAATTTTTTGTGATTATCAAGTTCAGATTAAAAGTCAGTTCTACCGCTCTATCCATGACCTATACATCAAATTTCATCACCTAAATCCATTACCATTTCTGTTTTCATTTCCCCCCTTTTTCGCTCTGCCTTTTGGAATCACCAATTTGTTAAACAATTTAATCCATCCAAAAGATTTTTAATACTTTGCGAGCCTATATGTGCTAGGCCTATGCCTACGTGCTATCAACCATTCTAAGTGATGGGACGGGCTGATCCTGATGGAATCCCTTATGTTAGGGCACCCTTAGTAAGGGCGTGTTTAAGGGTACAATGGTGTAAACAGGCATTAGTGTCTTAAAGAGATGCATGCTTTCACGATATGGTGTAATTAAATACTTACTAAAATACGGCAGCAGAATTAAGATGTCGATTTCCCTAAAAATCTACGCAGTGATGAAGTTTTAGGCAACGTGGAATGTCTGTTCTCGTAAACAATATCGTGTCTAAACCGGTTGTGGATCCCGACAACAACTCGCGATTCGAAATCATGATGCGGAAGTATCAATTAAGGTGGCCGTTCCTGCTTTTTAGTTTTATTCGGCCCATCAACGCTTTGAACGATTGAATTTCGACAGGGGAGGTTTTTTCCGTACATTATTAATTGAAATGTCAGGTCACTTAGCCTCACATTTCGATAAATTATTTGCCTTTCAAATAATACAAAGTAGCAATAATTAAGCGAAGACTTAGGTAACGATTTCTTAAATTTAAGCGACTAGTGCACATTTTAATTAAACGATTTTATTGCAGTTTATTTTAGATTTTACCTTTTGTTAATGAAACAGGCGAAGGTATTGCACGTCCTGCTGTCTATCGCAATTACTGTTATTCGGGTTTCAGCTATTAAAATAATATGTCCTAGGCAGACAGTCCAGACAGTCTAGAGTGTAGACTCTAGACAGTCCACAGCGCCAGTATGCACGAGTACACAAGCTAAATTAACCACTTAATTTGAATACGTACTCTATTGCATTCGTTTATATTTTGCGCTTCATATATGATCTTTATTGACCTAAGAATAACTTGAAAAGAGAAATTGAGCCGTTCTATAAACAGGGAAGTCGCAATAAATGTTTTTTAAGTTTTTATTTTAGTTTAATTTCATTGGAATTGGTCCTTGGATACCGGAGATAAATCAGGGAATTTTTGTTATGTGAGAAGGTGGCAAGGGAGCTGACGGTTCACCAGATGTTAAATTGATAACCGACCATGGACATTTGCAACACCCGTAGGGTAGCCTTTTAATAAAGTGCGTAGTAGTAGATGCCATCTTTTAATAAAGTGGGCCTCGGCTACCTCACTCACCACACGAAAGGCAGTTGTAACACTTTCACTTCACGCGGGTCTCCTGTGAGGTCGTGGTACTTCCCCGGACGGACCTGCCCATTCGTGCAACTACCACAGTTAGCTCCTCGAACTCAATGGGAAATTGTATATTGAGTGACATATTTGAAGACGGTTTTGTTTTTTGTTAATAAAAATGTTAAGGCATATTTCAAATTCTATTGCTTTTCACATGAGAAATATCGTATCTTTTCATTTTTGAGACTTATTGAGGTAATTATACTGAATTATAGATAATATTTACATATAAATTTTATAGACTGCATTCCACCATTGAAAATAGATGGATCGTTTTCTTGGAAGCGAATATCAAAATGACATGACATCATAATCACCCTTCTCGGTAAAAAAAAACAGTTTGACAGCATTTTATCAGTAACCGATATGATATTATCACCTGATATCTTGTGTGAAATGTTTTATCTTGCGTAACACGTACAAACATTCGGAATATGTTATGGAAGCGTATAAAATGTTATAAATGGAAGCAATTTCCAAAAATATCTAAATACGAAATGTCCAAAAATATTTGCGATTAGATTGTTCCCAATTAGAACATCGTGATAAGATTCGGTTTAAATACATTATTTTTCATTAATAGCTTGTTTTATCCCAAGATGTTATGGAAAATTTTACCCTTGCATCGTGGCAGTTTAACGTGGATTTAAGATATTTGCCCTTCCTTCCCTAACATGTACACCAAAACGGAACAATTCGCCATTGTCGCTTCTTCCACACTGGAAAATTAAGAATAAAAATTAGTACACCTCTTGGATAGAGCCGTGATAGCTCAGTGTCCGGGCGCTCGCCTTTAATTCAATAGACTCGAGCAACCTGAGTTCGATCCCCGGTGCCGGCACCAATGAAGTTTTTAACTTTAAGTGCTGACTTATCACGTGCTCCGCGGTGAAGGAAAACATCGTGAGGAAACCTGCATATTTTCGAAATAATAACAAAAAAAATATTTCGAAAGATATGTGGAGTCCACCAATCCGCAGTGGGGCCGCGTGGTGGACTATGCCCCGATACCCTCTGTACAGAGGAGGCCTTGCCCAGCAGTGGGACATGTATAGGCTGATACTTTACTTTTACTTTTTACACATCTGGGTTCGTTGCAAACGTAAACTTACTCACGTAGCAGAATCGTCGATTTCGCTTGCCCATTGGCATGGTAGTAATCTCTTAGCCCCCGGCGCCGCACGTGATAAGCTGATAACGTTTATCGGAGCAATTAAGCGACAAGGTCATCGGGTGCTGTTAACTGTTCTCTCGCCTCGACGGTGTTCAGACGGCAGAAACATGATGGAAAGCTTTCTTTTCCTA